ACTTGCGCCCGCCGGCCCGCCGTTCTGAAAGGTATCTCCGCTCAGGAGGCTGGGGGACTCTGGGGAAAAGCATTTATGGCGACGCCTGGGACAGCGGAGCCAATGGAGGAAGGAGGTTGCCACCTCCCGTACCAAGAAATTTTTGGAGACTCGGTCATTTCGGGGCGTTTTCTGATTGGACGAGCGAGGTTGCAAGGAGACGGTGGGAACCCGTATGTTGCTTAGATACTGTTCCACAATGGCTGGGGCAAGTATCTCCCCAAGTTTCTGCTCGGGGAATGGGAAAATGAGGAACTAAGAACATCTGGAATCTTCCTCAGCCTTTGGGTGGCACAGTGACCTCTCCCTCCTCCCTTTCTGGTGTCCTACTTTCTTCAGGTTTTCCCTTCTGTCTCTTCCGCCCCTAAGACTTGGGCTTGGCTTTACCTGCTAGCTGTCCTCGACTGGACACCGTGAATGCCTGTCCTATGAATGAGAATCATTGCCTAACTGGCACTGTGGGATTTCCATCTGTAGCCTAGGCCGGGTAGCACATATTTCTGGGCATTCACGCCGTTCCCAAGTGATTGAAGAGGGTACCTTGCAACATGCAGGAGATCTTTAAAGGTCCTTCCCCCCCCCCCAAAAAAAAGGCATATGAAAATAGCCATACATGCAACTACTTTGGAAATTATTCCCTTTTTGTTGTGTGGTGCTATGCTGTGAAGTAGTCTCTGTGTGCACATACTTGTAGAGACATCTGAAATAACCTCTAAAGCAGCCACATAAACCTTCTAAAGAAGATGGCTGCTTTAATGGTTTGCACATCCATATGGTTGTACACAACGTTCAAATGCTACAGAGAACAGGTAGTCCATGCTTAATGACCACAATTGGGACCTGCAACTCCATCGCTAAGCAGCATGTCCATTAAGCAGAACATCATGTGACCACGCCAGACTTATGTCACTTCCGCTGCAGTTGCCAAGCAAATCACCCCCCATCATTAAGGGAGACATCACTTGTGATTTGTGACTTGCAGTTTTACTGTTGGCTTCTCCATTGATTCTGCTTGTTGGAAGTTAGCTGCGAAGCACGCAAATGGCAATCACATGACTGCAGGACACTGCAACGGTCGTAAATGCCTGTTGGTTGAGAAGCACCTGAATGTCAATCATGTGACTGCAGGGACATTGCGACAGTCATAAATGTGATGACCAGTTGTAAAGTTACTTTTTCAGTGCTGTCCTAATTTCGAACAGTCACTAAACAGGGCAGTTGTTAAGTCAGGTCTACCTGTAGGTAAAATTAGATAAGCTTTAGGGAAAAAACAAAATAAATGGGATTGGTTGATATATAAAATTATGCATGGAGTAAAGAGGTATCTCATAGTAATAAAACCATAGTTATCCAAAAAAGTTGAATGTTAGGGGACTTAGGACATAAAAAAGGAAACAGTTCTTTACATGCTGCATAACACAGCTATAGAATATTTACTACAAAATGTAGTAATAGTTTAAAAAGGAATTAGGAAGGGTAAAATATTCATGCCAACTTAGGTATGGAAATAATTCAGTACTTCATATCATCTTCGGAATAGGAGGCAGTATGTTTTTGAATACTAATTGCTACAATTGTTATTGTGTTCCTTCTGCTTGTGAAGTTTCCATACCTTCAATGGAACAATGTTCCATTGGATAATTTGATTTAATCGGATATAAAAGATCAGATTAAACCTTTTTGTCACATAGTCTGGAGGAAGGTTCTTCTATTATTTCCATAACTCAACTTTTGATTCCAGATTTGGAGTAGCCCTGAGCCATATTGCTTTGATCCCATTCTTTCTGTGCACTTTCTTCTTATCTCTCTGCAAAATTTTACATTCTTCCTACTACATTTATTAAAGAAAAAGCATGCAGCAGTTGCTTGCAGCTTCTGAATACTTGCTCAGCTAAGAACACTTCCACCCCACATTGTTTCTAATCCTTCAAAAACCAGTTTAAGGCTTTCTGAAATTATTATCACTTCTACAAATCTTAGTCACTGAAAACACCATGGTCCAAGAAGTACTAGTTGAGACTGATTACAAAGAATATTCCGTCAATGCGTGCCCATAATTGCATCATTACAGAGTAAAAAAAATCTGTGCATCCCCACTTTACACAAGAGGAATAGCAAATAAATTGCTAATATTCCTTTTTCCAATTACTTTGTTAGTTGCATTTACCTTGGTATAATAAAGAAATAAATAAATACACAAATATATAAATTATAAGACTGTGGATGCTCTATAGGGAACTACAAAACCATAGGTTCTGTAGAATCTGTAGGTTAGGGGAGACAGATGTGTGTAATGTGTCCACAAGGTGGAAGGAACAATGAGGCAAGAATTCCTGCCAATGGGATAAATGATTGCCTTCAGGGTTTGCAGAACTGCAGAGCTGCAGATGAGAAAAGCAGTTCTTCAAATACTGTACATCGCAGAGAAATAAATGGACTCAGCTTCCAAACACTGAAATGAGCCAGATCCAGAGCTGATTATGAACTGATGCAAACATCCCATGTGGAAGTATCCTTATAGACAGCTGAACAGTACAAGCATCCACAAGTAGTAGTTATTCTTGCCTGTCCTTTTTCTGGGTGAGTAACAGTTGAAATTTCACCCAGCAAACTAAAGCCTCTAGTCCAGTGTTTCTCAACCTTGACAATTTTAAGATGTGTGGACTTCAACTCCCAGAATTCCCCAGCATGACTGGGGGATTTGGGGAGTTGAAGTCCACACGTGTTAAGGTTGTCAAGGGTGAGAAACACTGCTCTAGCCTGTATCACAAAGAGGAGAGTTAACAGATCCCAGTTACAAGCATAGTAATAATTTGAACAACACAAATCATGCAAATAGGAAGGCTTATGCTGGAGAAAGATGGAAAGCTCTGCTTTAACATTGGATTAATAGATTTGAAGTTAGGAAGCCTCAGATATGTGCTGAGGGTAAGGCAAAGGCTGAGTTATAAGGATATATCCTTAAAGAACAAGTAGCAAGGTGTCTTCAGACTGCAGTTGGAGAATATGTATATGAGTCCTTACTCAGCTGAGCAACTGAGGAGCAGAATTGGCAGAAGTTGCTCCCAGCTCTGTTCTTTTTCTTTGTCTTTGTCAGCCAGTGCGTTATTGGAATTCAACTTGTTCACCCAGACTTCAAATAGCCGAGTCTTCCAGTCATCTACTGCATGGAACATGCAAAGACCTCTGTAATCTAATTTGTTAGCTGCAGCAGCAATAATTTTGTCCTGCTGGAGTTAAATTACTTAAGGCCAAGGCACTGAGCCTTTTACTCTATCGCACACAGCATTGTGTATATAAGGATTTAAAAGCTTTGCAAGCAACACAAACTAAATGTACAAGAACAATGCTGTATATTATCTCCTTCGTGCCTAACACACTTTTGTGTCTGGAATCTGGTCTTCGCATGAGAATATGCCAGCTAAAGTACTGGCTGAAACTAAATTATTCCAAGGATTGTTGCCCATCCTAATTGTTGATAGATTTGCTTCTTCCTAGAAGAAAGGTATTAAAAGTTACTGGGGTCCTTCAGCCGGCTTCTTGCTCAAAAGATACAAGGAAGCAACTTCAGAGATTAACACAGCATCCTTTGGATGCAACATTTTTTTTAGAAAGTGATTTTTAAAAAAGAATGTAAATTTTTTAGAAAATGTAATTTTTTAAGAAAATTTGTTAGAAAATAATTTAGTAAATTCGTTAGAAAATTTAATCTCCCCCACTAATTATAATGATGATCAAACTAGTCTATTCCTCATAGGAGACAGTTTCATTGGCTACATGTAATATGTTGCCATCTGTGGTACTAGAATGGAGCTATAACAATAGCGTTTTATAAGAGCACCTCAGAAAAGTCAAATGAGATTCTTATATTTTGTTATGCTGTCATATATACCAACCCTGGCGCTCTGACCTAATAATTAGCCACACATCTTGACCAGCTTGCTGAAAAAAACATGTTCTTTTCCTGTTTGCAGATTTGTCTATAGAAATTACCAGGGGGCTTGGTAAATTTTTCTCTGTAGAAACTGGGGAAAAGAATCTGATTTTCTGGAATTGTTAATTTGGTAGTTGCATTGGCTCCAGGTTGATTATTGTTTTGATTTTTAAGTGTTCTGTGTTTTTATTTTATTACTCTTTTCTTACTTTTTTTATTTGACGTCATTGTATATAGCTTTGGGTTTCTACAATAAACATGTTTAATAATCAGGTGGGAAATTGAAAGAATGGAAGATAGATACAGTACCAAGGCGTAAAGGAAATTGCAAAGACCACCTCACCTTTTCTCCCTTTGGGTAGCATAGACCTTCATACATTTTAATTTCTTGAGGAGCCAACTTTCTCCATCCATATACAGTGGGGCAAAAAAGTATTTAGTCAGCCACCAATTGTGCAAGTTCTCCCACTTAAAAAGATGAGAGAGGCCTGTAATTTTCATCATAGGTATACCTCAACTATGAGAGACAAAATGAGGAAAAAAATCCAGAAAACCACATTGTCTGATTGTTCTCCCACTTAAAAAGATGAGAGAGGCCTGTAATTTTCATCATAGGTATACCTCAACTATGAGAGACAAAATGAGGAAAAAAATCCAGAAAACCACATTGTCTGATTGTTCTCCCACTTAAAAAGATGAGAGAGGCCTGTAATTTTCATCATAGGTATACCTCAACTATGAGAGACAAAATGAGGAAAAAAATCCAGAAAACCACATTGTCTGATTGTTCTCCCACTTAAAAAGATGAGAGAGGCCTGTAATTTTCATCATAGGTATACCTCAACTATGAGAGACAAAATGAGGAAAAAAATCCAGAAAACCACATTGTCTGATTGTTCTCCCACTTAAAAAGATGAGAGAGGCCTGTAATTTTCATCATAGGTATACCTCAACTATGAGAGACAAAATGAGGAAAAAAATCCAGAAAACCACATTGTCTGATTGTTCTCCCACTTAAAAAGATGAGAGAGGCCTGTAATTTTCATCATAGGTATACC